ACGGAATAAAAATTTTTGGAATATGGAATGATAAATATGTAGAACTCCGTAAGAATGATAAATCAAAAAAGATTATTATATAATATTTCGCGTTTTTTCAAATTTTGCATTTTATATATTTTATTTTAATAATTTAAGTTTCGTTTTAATATTATATTTTAATAATTTAAGTTGCATTTTAATATTTAATTTATTTTCAATCTCCGAGGTTAAAATATGCAAATAAAATATTATTCACATTTCCCTCTTTAAGTAAAAAATTTTAATTTCACACCCTAGTTTTAATTCAAAAAGTGTTATTTTTAATAAAAATTCTTCATAAGATAATTTTTAGAAAATGATCTCATCACATCATTTAAATACTTATCTAAAATGAAGATGTTACATAACTTGTCTTCAAAAGCTTTATTTCAAAAACATTTTTATCATATTAAGTGTTACTTATAAGGGTTATTTAAATCAATCATGTGATTTAAACCTTTTAATTCATGTTTTAATTACATTTTAATATATTTAAAATTAAAGGTTTATCTTCTTGTTTAGGATTTTTAATGGTTTATTTTTAATTATATCTAAAAATTCATCTTTAGGTTTAGTTAATTTACAACAATTAGTCATCATTCAAGAAATGAAAAAATATCAATATTCACTAAGAAATTAAGTAAATAATTTTTTTAAGGCTTTTTATGTGTTCAAATATATCCATTATGATTTTACATTTTAGTTATTTTAATGATTTATAACATGCCTTTATCCCGGCATAAAATCTTAATTTATAATAACTTTTCTTCTTACGTGGATTAGAATAATAAGTAATCATCATTGGTTTCACAATATAGAATTCATAACCTAACGTCCAACTTCCATATTGGTTCTTTCAGGTTGTCACATTAGGTTAGGTGCTGGTTATCATATTCCAGTCTAACATCCAGAGCCAGGACACCATGAAGAAAGAAGCTTTTTGCATGAAAGAACGTGCTAAGGTATGATTCTTGGTCATATCAATAGATTAGGTAGTCATCACAATAGGTAGTCATCTCAATAGGTTAAGCAGTCATCTCAATAGGTTAAGCAGTCATCACAATAGGTAGTCATCTCAATGGATTAGGTAGTCATATCAATAGATTAGGTAGTCATCACAATAGGTAGTCATATCAATAGATAAGGTAGTCATCTCAATAGGTTAAGCAGTCATCACAATAGGTAGTCATATCAATAGATAAGGTAGTCATCTCAATAGGTAGCTCACTTTTGTATATATATATCAGAATAATATTTGACTATATATATTTTTTTTTTAAAAAAACAAGTCATGTCCTTCGAATTTAATTTAATTTTTACTTTTTTTTAATTTTAGGCAAATTTTATATATTTTCTTCTTTTTTTTTACAAAAACGTACCGGGGCGCCATGAAGAAAACACGTTATATTTTGTTTTTAATTAAATTTTATTTCTACTTTTAAAAAATCAAATAATAATAATGATAATATGTATAACAATCAACTGTTATATATACTAAAACATTTCAATAGATATTCAAATTAATACTCAATTAACATTAAAATAAATTATTTCAACTGATCACAAATTTAAATAAACAATACAATTAACACATACATTTGGCTGTCATGGCTGCATTGGAACCCTTAAATACAACTTTAAAAAAAATTTAAACTTTCTATATTTAAATTTAATAAACTCGAAAAAATATTTATTGAAAAAAAATCCACACTTAGAATTTCTTCACCCAATTTTGGATATACCAAGACGTTGGAATTCAACATACCAAATGCTTGAACAAAATACCAATGAAGAAAATTTAGTGCCTTAGCCTGGAATAATATAGAAATATACCGAGAATTTCTGGAACCTTTTAATTTTGCTACTAGTTCATAGGCCCTCTCATTGTATGCCCATATTATCTAAGTCTGTTTACCATTATCTTAGTCTTATTGGGCACTACCTTTAAACTTCCTAATATTCTTGTACTGCGCACCTTATCAACTCTTGTTACCCCAGCAATCATCCTCAGCATTCTCATCTCCATAGTTTGTAGACTTCTCTCTTCTGATTCTTTGGTTGGCCATGCTTCCGAACTAGCTATATATATTAAAATATATTTTCATATTTCCATTCGATCATTTAACAAGTTAATTAAATAAAAGCAATTTTACAAATTAGCTAACTAATTATAATTATTTTTAGGTGAAATATAAATTTTATACATACACCTAGTTATTTCACTACTTTTTTGGTAATCTTCATTATCATTTTAGAATGAAGAAAATTGTTTTGAAATTATTAACTGATTTCATTTTTGCTTGAATGAACGTTAAATGCCAAATAGAAATATTTTTTTATAAACGTGAACCGTTTGAAAAATTTTATAAATTGGGGTCGTAAAAAAATTTTACAGAATTTATTTTTTATAAATCCAGGTTGGGCCATGCAATTAATACCTCTGTAGGACACTAATTTAAACTATAGGATTGTTCGAATAATTTATTTTTTTAATAGCATTGCATTATTCGAAAATAAAAAACAATTGAGATATCGAAGGTTATATATGCTTTATGCAGTGCAATTATGATCATCTTTTAGAACCTATATCATTTATAGCATGATAAATGTAATAGGCCTGGGTATACAGGCCGTGCCTTATTTTAATTTTTTTAAATATACATGGATGGGATGCGCTGTGCCTAAAAAAAAATTTTAAGAAATACCCGGGTCAGGTCTATCTATAAAAATGAATATAATCTTCTTTTTTTTTAAACTGGGTCCTATCTGAATTTTTTTTTAAATATATATATTAAATAGCCATTATTATCAAACAAAATAAATATAATATTCAAAAAATCCCTGCCAGGCCTGAAAATTTTTTTTTGAAAATAATTGATATTTAATTATAGGTTACATCATATTCCCTATTCGACAGTTTTCTTTAAATTTTGAAAGTTGGAATTGCCAATTTGAAAACGGGTATTTGGGTATAGATCAGTGTTATCAAGATCTAACATGTCTGATGTTAGATCTATTGTACCTAGGCATTTTTTTGATCTATCTCGAGTTTAAATTCGACCTCTTACTTAGAGCAGTAATAATTTATCTAATTCTTTTGATGAGATTTTCAACAAAGGATACCTTTTTAATACCATCTACTTACGAGATTGTGTAAACCATGACCCAAACATAATTGGTGTTCATATTCGTCTAACGAACACCCTTTCTAACATATAGCCCAGCATCTGACCATTTGTATTTTTTTTTAAATTAAATTTCTCTTCTATTTTATCAATCTCAGTTAGAATAATCTCACCTGTGTGTTTTTGGGTTATATAATGAGTTGCTAAAGTAAAGTAAATCATTTCAAAATTATCATTTATTAAATGAAGTGTAAATGTAATATAGTTTCTTCTTCTATATTGATCTATCCACATATTGAATGTAATTGAGCAAAATTTTGACCCTGGGTTAATTTATTCTTGGTGCTTTCATTGATAGGTAAACATCATTAAGAGCAGTACGGCTTAGTGTTGTCCTGTTTGGCAAATCAGAATTAGAATTAATAACTTGATATTTCAAAAATAAGTTTTTGGAATTTTATAACAAAACATCATTATATCATTAATTTAGGGACAATTTATCAAGAAGAAATAAACCTGTTAAAAATTTATTCTGGGTTTTATGTAAAGCTACCCAGAAACAGAGATGATTAGGATAAATGAATATGCAATTAACTAATATTTTTTAAATTATTCATGTCTATATGTAAACATTGTTGGCATGGCTAGGAAATTTAACTATTGTAAACCTTCCTCAACAGCCCCTACTATTTCAACAAAACAAAAAAGACATAGAGGTAGATTTTAAAAGGTTCTTGTTTAATAATAATGGATTTAATTAATGTATAATATTATAGATAATATACCAATTTTTTTATAAACATGACACCTTCAAAAATCTTTCATTCCTAAATTATCAATTGATTGAAAAGGTAATAAGTCAGCACAACATAATAACACATAGTATCTTGCTAGAAGCCATTTTTTAGATGTTTAAGAATTTGTCTGGAATTTTGGTTAGGATATAAAATATTTTTTTAAATCTTGCGATTTTGATGAAGTATCTTCTTTAATATTATGATCAGAAGTCAAGTGTTTTAACAAATTTCCTATGCCAATGTTGATTGAAAAGTTTTGAATTTTATAGCTATATTATATTTTACAAAACATATTTTAATTAGTAAAAGAAAATATTTAAAAAAAATATAACTTGAAAAGGGGTTATTTGAATCATCGTGTACAATAGCCTTTTCTAAACAACAATTACAGTAAAATTTGAATTTGTTTTATTATCTCCTTTTAAGTGTAAGAAACCAAAAAACTTCCACACAAATGATTTTTTATTATTTACTGTTATAATACTAAAATTATTTAGTTTATTAAATGTAGAGGCATCCATTTTTAAAATATGTAAAATTATGATTTTAAAACATGTAGAAAATAAATTCATCCTGATTAACATTTAAAAAATTACAAAAGTGATGTTGACCAATTATTAGAATATAAAGGTATAAAATATGAAAAAAAATTCTGCGCCGGCCAAATCGGCGGCGCGCCAGCATGATTTTCATAAACGGCGGCGTTTTCGGCGCCATAAAGTTGGCGGCCGGCGCACGGTCTAATAATGTCTCTTTCAATAATCATAACTCCAAAATTAGTTGAATGTCCAACTAATTCTTTTATTTACTTATTAAATATATTCAACGTAATAAAATATATTTCTCTGTCCATTTTCGGTTTTCACTTTCTAATTTTGTCTTACTACTTTTGTTATATTTTTATTTTGTCAATTAATGTACTTTAAATAAATACCAGCTTTAATCACCCAGAAATATTTTCTTTTTGGCAGGGATGGTTTGAGCGCTAAGATTTTTTTTGTTGCCCTAAGGTGAAAAGTTGGTCAATTTAATATTTTATATTTATCTGAAATATTAGGTTTCGAGAGCATCGATTTCACCCAGATATGAAGTATTGCAGGAGACTATACCCTCACATACATAACACTGACGGGTTTTTTATCGCTAAATTGCGTAAGATATATCAAAAGCCCGAACCTGAAAAACCTAGCGATAGTATATCTACCAAATCTCTCACTACAAAAAAAACCGATTCTAACGTTAAAGGTTAGTTCTCATTTTGACCGTTTTATTTATCTTTGAATTCAATATTATTTATTAATTAAAAAAATTCTGAACGATTTATGAAATTAAAAAATTATATACTAATTTTAAATTTTAAGATGACAATTTTCATATCTACGAACTTAAAATAAAGCCACAAATTAGATTAAAATAAGAGATGTACGATTCTTAGATTTTAAATGTCGTATATTTCTTCTTAAAAATCGACCTTAATTATTATTTTTTTAAATTACATTCTCCTTTTCTACTATCATTTTATTAGCAAGATTGATTGAAACTAAAACTCGCAAACGATTTCTCAAAAAAGGATCGACTCACATTAAAAGGTATGGCAAAACCTAGAATAAGGGAAAAGCGCGTGACTAATTAAAAATATTGTTGGACTTCATTTATTCGTTAGTTATATTGCCTCGAACAAAATATAGTTGTTAATTTTGAATTACATGTATATTTTAATGATATCTTGGCCTTAAACCTTTTAAGATGTTTTAGTTCGATATTATGCTTGTTATGTACCTGGTCAAATAGGGGGGTTGATTACGGTCAATATTCCAGGAGTAATGGGGTCTCGGACAAAACCAATTTCTGTGTGCCCTTAGTCGTATGTTAGATGTTGAATCTATGAACAAATAAAAAAATATGCAAACGGACAGAATCAATATCTATATAATTCTAGAGGGCAATATAGAAATTGGCATCCCTCCCCGTGTTCCACAACCTACGAGGGTCCAATTTTAACTAAATTTAATATTTGGTTTATTAATTAACCACCGTCGAGCTCAACAAGATGTAAGGCACCTCGGACTTGGGATTTATAAGGATCCTCAGAAAATGTCTTAATTTTTTAGAATGCATTTCATAATTATATATAAATAATTATAATATAATGCATAAATCGGAACAGGTCAAAAGCGAATATTTTTTATAACTATAAAGAATTTGACTTGCTGAGAGGAGGCCCTTTAACGTCTATTTGTTTTATCATAAGTCTTGCAGGTAAATTCCTTATAATGACTTCATTATTATCTTCAATATATTCCCTCATCTCATTTATTGCGAGATAGACATTTTGCTCTTCATCATAACGAATGTGAGGGTCTGCTGGCCTGTTATCTTTTTCTAAATATTCCATGTTAGATAAGTTAGCTAAAAAAGGTATATTTAATAGAATTTTTAATTGGTAGAATTATAGAAATTAGCATCCCTTAACCTATTTTCAGATTGTCTATTAAGGCAGTAATGAATTGATTTTTGTTTATACCAGAGTGCCTTCTGTTTTCTCAATATTACTAATCATAATTTATTTATTCCCTAGCTTCTTAAGCTATTTTTAAATGTTCTCCTTTAGAAATATTAAATAAACATTCGTTTAGAAATTATAGAAGACATTTAAATCTACCAAGGCATCCATAAACAATTTTAAAACCTTAGTGATTTTTCAGTTAGGTAAACCAGAGATACCTAAACAAATATCGGTTCTTAAAAAATAAATATATCGGTTCGGTTCGAACCTAAACACTGGTTTGAACATTTTTATATTCAAATCTACATTCGAATTATGTATAGGGAGTTATATTTTTTTTATTTCATTAATAAAATAAAATTTTCATTTTTATTAATTGCACATTACAAAATAATATTTAAATTATAAATAATACAAATAAATATCAATGATTAATTTTAATATGAACAATATTTAACTTTATGAAATTTATTAGGCCACACAATTAATATATTTTTTCAAGATTCGTCTCACTCAAATTCATCTATAAAAAGATAGTATAAATTTAATTGTTGAAAAATATCTTTCCCACTAACTTGGGTAGCTGGCACTGAGTATGATATCAAACAATTTACATAATACTGAGCATCGATTACTCTGATTTTTCCAATAGTTTAAAATATTCATAGTTTTATTTAACATGGTTTCTTTACAAAAAATAACTTTTATTTCTTTGATTATATTTTGCCAAATACTTAAGGCTTGTTCTGCAACATTAGATTGAATATTTTGAGAAATAATTTTAATTTTACCCACGTCTTCTAATATAGGATCAAGAATTTTTTTAAAACCTTTATCATCGATTAATTTGAATGGTCTGCAATTAAAAGTGACCAACTCAGTACAAGCATCGGTTATTTTTTTTTATTTAGTTTTACTGATATTGTTTGTTCTAATAATGCTTCTACTAGCGTCTGTTGGTTTGATGACATCTTAAACCTTTTTATTTTATTAGGCTTTTATTGTGATATTTTGTTAATTTTATCGAATTCTAGATGGTGGTTTCTTTATGTGACGCTCAAAATTTATGATGGCCTTTCATATTTATTTGACAATCAGTAATATTACATTTTGATGTGGCATTTATAATACTATATGTAAATAATTTATATATTGGATTTAATTTTCTCTAGACATTATAATTTATAAACCTAAAATATTTAAAAAATGATGTAAAATGGCAATATTTTAAAGTTTATAAAAATTATGACTGACACTTATCAATCAAATTGGTAATAATCTTTAAAACTATTCAAATTTAATTAAAATTTTTGCAATATACTAGTAATAACTTACATATTTTATAGGCATAAAATTATGAGGCTCGAACCGATTCAGAGCCATTTTAAAGGTTCAGGTTCGGCTAGAAATTTTTTAACGGTTTAGGTTTGATAAAAAATACCGGTTTTTAACGGTTCGGTTTGGATCCCTGAGGTAAACTTATTGTTCTTGTCTGAAGCCTTAAAGAAAGATTGGATAATTCAAATAAAACATCACACATCAATGTGAGATTTGATAAAAATTCACCACTTTATAATTAAGTGGAGAGTAGTTATCTATATTGAGCCTAATTATTCAAGCCCGGCAACGCTCAAAATTTTTTTTTTAATTTGTCTTACCCAGCCCAATCCCGAATGTAATTTTTTTTTAAATTTGTCCTACCTGTCCCAACCACGAATGAAATTTTTTTAAATATGTCATACCTGGCCCAATCCCGAATGAACCTTTTTCTTATTTGTCACGAATAGCTCGACATAATCAAAATTATTTATCTGCCCACCCCTAAATTATTTAAATATAGAAAAATTTGATTGTAAAAAAGATATTAGCTCCTTGTTTCATGCAAGAATTTAAAAACCCTTTGTTCCACATCTATATACTGCTGCATCGACTGGTATTTTCTTAAAGGGCTGGACCAAGGTGAGTTTATATTAGATGGCTTAATATCATTTTTTTTAAATATAGCAATTTTTCGTTGACTCTATAATTGAGTTTAATATTTGTCATAATTTTTTGAAATTTATTATCCATATAGTTTTTGACAACTCTTATGCTTATGATTAAATCCAACATATCTATTAATTTTGCCTTTTCATACAATACCGTATAAAATTAATTTTAAAAGTTCAGTCCATCATTGAAATTTTATTTGAAGCATTAATAAAAATTGAAAAACATGAAATAGTCGTTTAAAATAAATTTTAGATTTGATATTTCTAATAGTGATCTGCATCGGGCCTGATTTTTCAACCGAATATATTTAAATATGGAAATTAATCTTTATAATTACTCAAAATAAAACAATATGTCGTTTAGTTTCAACAAATAAAATCAAATATTTTTATTTTACATAAAAAATTCAATATAAAATTGATAAATTTAGATATATTTAAAAATATTTCCAAGGTCCAACCCGAATTTTTTTTTAAATATTAGGCCCGGCCCGAGCTCGATTATTTTAAATAGAATTCGGCCCGAAGCCCGTATGGGCCGGGCCTAACTTTGTAGATCTCTAGTCTCTAACGACATTAAAAATAGGTTACTGATTAAAATGAGATAGGAGCGAGATTTAAAATTGAAATTATATTGCGAAATTCTAAAACCTAACTCGGCAATCAGATTTTGTATAATAAATCAAACAGACAGTGGTGGACTGGCCATTAGACCAGGTGGGCATTTTACCCACGAGGCCGCGAGAAATGTCGATTTTTGAGGCCGATCAGAGGAAAATATCAAAAAAGAGGCCGATTAGAAAAAAAAAGATATTGTGTTTACATTATTTTCTCTTACCATTTTTTTATTTTTAATGATATCTATATTATTCGAATATCACATTCCTTAGAATTATGTAACGTAACTCTTCCGTTTGAGTTTTAGTTGGGTGAAAGCTAAGTGTTAATTAATTTATTATAAGACAAGCAACCATTTGCCTACAATAGCAAAATAACAAAGGATTACAAAATTTAAACTCTTCTGGAAAAGGATTTTTTGATATCTTGAGTGAATGCTTTTAAAACATGGGATTCAAATGAGAAATGTAGTGGGAGAATCATTTGATGGTGCTGCAAATATGGGGGGGGGGGGGAGGGGTAAAATTGTTGGGTTGCATGCTCTTATTAAAAGAGGCTCCAGATAGTTTTTTATATTTGGTGCTAGAGTCACATATTAAATCTCTTTATATGTGATTCTTGCGATAATATTGAAGTCAAAAATTTATTTGGATTATTGAAAAGACTAGCAACTTCTTTGGTAAATCATATAAAAGGATGGATGCTTGGGTAAAATAAAATAATTCATCTGGCTATTGAGAAAGCTGTAAAAAATAGGCGAGGCAAGGTGGTGGGCACATGAAAAGGCCCTTAGATGGATATATGGTAAAGAGAGCTTGCTCCCAATAACGATAAGGGCACTTCAATTTATAATAAATGATAAACCATTTAAGGCAAAAACCTCAAGTCATCTGTATCATCGATAACTATTACATCATTTCAAAATAAAGAAATAAAAACAGCTTCTAATTTAAATGAAACATTTTCATATTTATAGCTCCCAGAAAGTATCTGAGTATAAAATGCTCTGTAAAAAGATCGAACAGGACGAGCGAATAGAATATGTAGTGACGAAGGCCAAGATGAACGTCCTCAAGAATCGATTGACCTTTATAGTGTCGAAGTACTTCGTCCTATAATTGATTAAATTATAAATAGCTTGTCGGAACTATATTTTGCGAATAGTAGCTTATTTTGAATGTGCAGTATTTGCATCCAAGGTATTTTGATGAAATAAATAGTAAAGGCATTGGAAAAACTGATACAATTAGCAAATATATTGAGTGTTAAATTACGTAACGAATTGTGATCATTCGCCACTGTATTCAAAGATTTAAATATTAGAATTAAATGAAACGGACTATGATATTGTATGTACAAGTGAGGAGCCATATGAAGATGATGGAATATTAAAAAATAATAATAATTCAGAGTGTGATAATAAATATAACAAGTGTTTAATATGCGTGTATGAAATTCTTAAAAGATACAATATGCATACACTTATTTATTTTTGGCATATGAATACATACTTTGTCATTTACGTAGGTTAATTGTGAGAGAACATTTAGTATATTAAAAATTATAAAAAATAGGTTGAAGCTAATATAGGCGAAGAAAAATTACAATTTTAATGATGTCAGCTGAACGAGAGCTATTAGCGCAGATTGAACTAGAAGCGCAAAGGTTCAAAGTTAATGAGAGATTTATTAACGTAAAAATTTTATATTATCTTGATTCTCGTATTTAAATCTTATTTATATCTATTTGCAAAATGATCGTTGCCTGATTTTATAGTGCAGCAATTTTATTCTCTGTGTAAAATTGTATAATTTCAATTATTTTATATGTGCAATTATTTTATTTATTGAGTATGTATTATCTTATATTTAACACGTGATATATGATTTCATTTTATGGTCTAATATCGTTGTAAATCTAATATAAAATATATTGCACAATGAATATTTTTTTAGATGTGCAATGAATAATTTTAGATGTGCAATTTTTTTAAATAAAATATATGATTATCGTGTCATACTATTCTATTTTTTTATAAATCGCTTAAACTTATTTTCAAAAATAAGAGGTAATAAAAATTATGTAATTCGAAGAAGCCATTAAAGGGAACCCGACCAATGGGGGGTATGGGAGCGAAGCCCCCATTAAAATAAAGCCACTATAAAAACATGCCCACGAGGCCATAGCGTCGCCAGTCCGCCCCTACAGACAGACGATATTAAGGCATCTTAAATCAATAGACATTGCAAATAGAACGACAGTTCTCCTCTCAGCGTTTATATTAGGGTAGTAGAAGCCATTGCCTCCAAATTTTTGAAGAGGGTATGCTAAGGAGTAAATTGAGGTAAAAATAAATATAATTTATAGATTCACAAATAACTGGTAGAAGGATTCTAATTTATAAATAGACATTTATTTCATTTTTAAATCATTTATTTAATATTTAGATGGGTAATAACAAATAGGTAATTATCACCAACTAAGGTTTTTTGTTATTCCTAGCCTAGATTATAATGCTTGAAAGTTTTAATTAAGATTTTGTTTGGAGGTTGCGCATGGTGGCTATTGATTTTTTTAGAGGGTAGGTTGGAGGAGGTTTTGCTTCCAACGAATTTTCTAACATATAGTAGTTTGACCCCCCTTCAGAGATTTGTATTTCCTCGTAGATATGAACTAATTAAAATTCTCTCACTTCAAAAAATTTAAGCAATATATTATTAGAAAATTTAAACAATAGTTTTAAAAAAAGTTAGTCATTTTTTATATAATTAGTGATTAAAATTTTTAGGAAATTCATTTTTATAATTTAAGAAAAGACAAACCATAATTATTTTTATTCAAAAGAATGTAGCATATGAAGTCTAAAATAAGTTGACCTAAAGTCCTGCGATAAAATTTATGGAAACCCCATCCAATAATGCACTATCCCTTAAAATTCTGGCTCGGTTCTGCTTATTAATTAATATTAATAATATTACTTCATTTAGGTAGACATTTATTAATCTCCCTTTATTCCAAATGATAATTAAACATTTAGAAACACTAGGTTATTAGATCTAGATCTTAATATAATTATTTAATAATAAATAAAAAACAAGGCATGCATCTTTATATTTACTAATGATTTGCGCGCCCTAGCCCGGTCGGAGAGGGTGGGTCTGGAAATCGGAAATCATGGGGAATCAGAGTTCTTAAAAAATATAGGGTTGACGCTGAGATCTAAAAAAATAGGTATCGTCAAGGTATATTTTCAGTGGCCTATTTTTTATGAATAATAAAGCAGAAAAAAATGGATATATTTATTACTAACATTATGCAAAATAATATGCTAATCACGAATAGAAACAAATACTATTCAGATGATCAATTTGGTAAGCTGTAATGTAACGCTTAAAAATACGAGATGGGGGGGGGGGGGGGGGTGAGCTACACATATATATTACCAAAAAATATATAAATAAAATCGATAAAAATTCCATTTCTTAGTTTTCTTTGGGCTGTATTTTTTTAAAAACGTTTCTTTCTCCCCGTGATAATTATTTCCCTAAATTTGATATATAGATCTGGAATCCACTCCTAAATCGAATGTCCATTAATATTTATGATGACATTCCATAAGATGAATACTGCGGAATTAAGTGCCCATGTTAATAAATTTTTGTTTATTTCATCTAAATATAAACAATAAAAAAAATCGGTACTAACCACATTGATTATGAAGAAGTGGAGTGAACCGAGGATTAATATCATATTTTTATTTCGTTCAGCGTAAAATGAATTCGTTTTAATTTGAATATCAATTGAATTTTAATATAATATTACATACAATTCGACAGATTTAAATGTTACATCTTTACTCTCTCTATATAAATTACTTTTTCTTTATATATATCAGAGATCTGCAGACCCGGCCCTAAGCCTGCCGTATTTTAAATTTTTTAAATATACCCGGGCCGGGCCGGTGTAACGTGTGAAAGTGATCTGTGAGATTTCGAAATCTCACGCAATCACTTTCACAGTTGTGAGATTTTGATGATAATGGCCCCCAATGTTTTTGAAGCGATAAATCTAAAGTAAAAATTTGCATGACATGAATTTAAATGATAATATAATATAGAGACAATAATGGTATAAAACCTAACTGTTAAATTATAATCTATGTTTTAGAATAATATTTTAATAATGCTTTGCAAGATATATATCGTGTCATTTTAAGAACTCATCTTTATTTTTTTAAGATCATTAAATCGAATAATGAGAGCTGTAAAATCAAGGAACATCATTAAAGTTAAGGATATAAAATATAATATAGAGACAATAATGGTATCACACCTAGCTATTTAATTATAATCTATGTTTTAAAATAATATTTTAGTAATGCTTTGTAAAATATATATTGTTTCATTTCAAGAGCTCATCTTTATTTTAACATCATTAAAGTTAACAATATAATAAAATTTCTCTTTTTGATATATATAAATTTAATTAAAAAGTAGATTATATATAACAAATAAAATTAAGCATTACAAGGTGTGGTGGGTACTCTAGTTAGTAAGTCTTACATTACTTCTCCTTAAAATGTGGGATCAAATCCATGTACCATACTTTTTTTATTTAAATTGTTTTTTTATTATCTATCTTATCTAAATAGTCGCCGCCTCTCTATAGTTTTAAATTTATATTTTTAGTCTGCATATCATACCAAATAGTGTGTGATAAGATATGCAGATTAGAGGTCTGTAATGGGCGGGTTTCTAGCGAAAAGATTAACCTGCCCTCGCTCTCACTTATAATTTTTTTTATATATATTTTGTTTTAAAATTATTTTATGGCTGGTTTGGCTCTTTATTTATTTTAATGTATTTTTAATTAAACATATAATATGGAATATTATGAAAAACTATTTACTGTTCTGCTCATTTCGCCTGAAAAATATCAAATTCTCCTAAATTTTTTAACCCTCTCGCCCAATGTTGAAAATATTTTTTTTAAAGTACGGGCGAAAAAACCACCCAATCCAGACCTCTAGTTCAGATTATTGATAGGAGGCTCCAATCAATATCATAATTAAAGTTTAGCAAAATTTAGGTAGGGAAGAGATCCTTACTAACATGCTAATTTACACAACATGAATAACCAACTCCGATCCCATGATATTTCTTATACAAAGTACATCTTCTCGATAGACATTAATTTAGACAAAGCTCATATATGACAGAAAATTTACTAGAGGCAAACCACCTTTTCTACCCAACCCTCTAAGAATCACTGCAAAGAAAGAGTAATATAAATTCTTAGCCTAAATGGCTTAATCGTAATGCTTATTTTGTTTACCTAATATAATGTTTTAAAGATAATCCATCTCTATATTATTTTGTACTGAATTGGGTCACAAATATTAGATAAAACTTTATTTGGTATAAGAAAATAGACGAAAAACTTTATTGATATAAATATTTATACATAATTTTAAATTTAATAAAAACATCATGGAAAAATATAATTATTATCATATATTGCATATCAGAATGTAATTGAATATTATTTATAAACTACAACTTTCATAAAATATAAATATATAAGTCGATAAATTATAATATGAATGAAATATATTTATATATTTTTATATAAAAAATTTTTTTTAATAAAAATAATAAATAGTTATTAGATGGAAGATAAATCGCAATCTAAAACATTTTCAAAATGACTCCCCCCATTTTTTATATAAATAAAATTATTATTAAATATTTTAATATTGTCGCGAATATAAAATGGGTCACATCGGGCCCATACAAAATTATCATTATATTTTATATAAGTAAAAATAGCCGTATTTAACATTGTAGCCATCGCCCTGACTTCTGTGTCAGAAGCCCATATCTGCTGTGTCATTACATTATTTAAGACATAAGTTTTTATGTCTATTTTTTTGTTCGTGTCGTAAAGATAATTTTCAATTACCTTTCCCATCTCGGATGTTAGCATAAATTGTGCCAACCATTGGCTGAGAATAACATGGTAATTTTGAGCTCCAGTAAGCTCTACACTAATCGCCCTATGAAATTTTATATTAATATGTTTTACCTATAAAAACAATTCCCATCACCTTCAATTTGCACCAGAATGGTGGGTTCACCAAGTTGTTTCCCATAGTCTACATCCCGACAACGTTTGGGAGGCTTTAGACCATATATTTTAGCATGATATTTTTTCCATACCTTTGTTGTAGGAAAAAAATATCTAGGGATATTTTCTAATTTATTTATTATCAAAATATCATCATCCAATTCTGTATACGTAATAAATTAAAAAATAAATCAAATATATATCAGAAATAACATTACCTATGGGAGTCTTTGGATTGATAAAATCCCTGTCAAGCTGAATATTTTTATCTTCAAACTCAACATTTTGGGAACCACTATCTATAAGTAACACACGTGCTGCTTTATTTTCAAAAAAATAATTCAAATATATCCTATATACAATACCTCTGGGAGACTTTGGATCAACAAACTCTGTAGCAAGTGGAATAATTTCATCATAAAGGCCATTTTGGGAACTACTATCTAAAGGCAATGCATTAATTATAATTAAAACATTAAAAATAATTATAAGGCTATTATTCAAAAAAATAATTATAAGATTATCATTCAAAAGATAATTCAAATATATATCCTAAATACAATACCTCAGCAAGTGGAATAATTTCATCATATAGGCCATTTTGGGAACTACTATCTAAAGGCAATGCATTAATTATAATAAAAACATTAAAAATAATTATAAGGCTATTATTCAAAAAATAATTATAAGATTATCATTCAAAAGATAATTCAAATATATATCCTAAATACAATACCTCTGGGAGAGTTTGGATCAACAAACTCCATAGCAAGTGGAATAATTTCATCATAAAGGCCATTTTGGGAAGTACTATCTAAAGGCAATGCATTAATTATAATAAAAACATTAAAAATAATTATAAGGTTATTATTCAAAAAATAATTATAAGATTATCATTCAAAAGATAATTCATTACTTTTCAGCTATTATTTGATTAGTTTTATTAATCCCCAGATGCCCTCCCATAGCAATACCTGCAACTGTAGATACACCCCCCTCATGTATTGTTTTAATTATTTTTTTTTGTTCATCTCCTGTCATTATAACTTTTCTTTCTTCTAAAATATCATTAAATTATATATATAATAATATTTGTGATGCAGAAAAAATATATATAATCAATGGCTAGAATAATAAACTGCACTTAATTTTGTCATACAATTTTAGTTGTATATATTATAATACCTAACTTTAATAAATTAATTATGCAATCATTTTTAAGCCCATATACATTATAATAAAAGTATCTAACATTTACTTTTCATCTTTATGCGATAATCTAAATTACATTTTAGTTGTAAAATAGCATTTAATAAAGCCTATATGTAAAATTTTATCAAATGTTCTTACATATATATATATATATATACACTTACATTTGCAGCTATAATTAATTTTAGATGAAAAAAAGATAATAATCAATGGCCTGAGCATTTTTCAATGTTAAAAAATAATATATTGCATTAAACTTATAATGGCTAATTATAATAAATTAGACATATCTAAAATTTACTTTCCCCATAGAATAATTGATTTTCTATAATCTTGAAGGCGGTGTTAGAACATTTTAGGAAGTCATATATATCATTATAATTTGAGCTAAAATATTTCTGAAATAAAAAATATATTGTTAAAAATTTACTTCATAATCATATCATATTATACACTGGGGAGACATCCCACAATTAAGTGGGCACTCCACCACCCCATAGAGGGCGTCTCCAGTGCAGTGAATTTGCATTCACTGTTTGGCAGAAAATTTACCCTACTGTCTGGGCCCTGTTTAATTTGAGTGGGATGACAGGTACCACTCGTGGATAAGCCAGGATCCACAAAGTTGACAGTAATTTACCCTACTGACAGGGTCCCGTTTAATTTGAGTGGGATGACAGGTACCACTCGTGGATAAGCCAGGATCCACATTGTAAATAATGTTTATTTATTAAAAAAGATAAGATAGGAATATGTATTAGAAAAAGGGGGGGGGGGGTGATTAAGGAGTAAAGAGGAAGAAGAATTAGTTTTTGTAATTTATTTATTTATTTTTTTTGTTTTGTTTTCTCTTTTTTTTTTAAATATTATTGGTAATAAGAGATTCTTGTGTTAAAATAATGTTAATATCATATTGATCAAGGAGTTTCCTAAGTATAGTTGTTTTTGAAAGTAGGCCAGGAATGTTGTAGGAGTAGATTGTTAGATTTTTGAAAATTGACATAATATAAATTTTAAAGTAAATTGTAAGATAAATTTGAATTTTGAAATAGAAAAAAAATGGGGATAAAATAAGCAGACGATACTTGGAAAAATTAAAAAAGCAAAAAGCAGACAAGAGAAATGATGAATAAGAAAATATCCATGAAATTGAGTTTTAAGAGAGGATTAAAGTTAAATTTTGTTTAAGAAAGAAGTTGTAATTATATTAAATGTTGATTTATATTATTTTGTTTAAATTAAGTTAATAAGATTAATATATAGAAAAAATAAATTGTTAAAGGAAATAAATAATTGAAATAAAAGATAAATAGATGATTTATAATGGTACTTGCTTAACTTTATAGTAGCTTAGGTAAAGAATTGGAGAAGATAAGAAAGAATTAAGTTATGATGAATTGATTGAGATAAATTAGTAAATAAAGAAGAGAATTTATTTCTTTGAATCTAGAAAAAATAAAAAAATTAATGAATAAAAGAATAACTTGACAGAGATATATTATGGGTTATGTATAATCCTCAGCAATTAAAAAAAGAGTCTCATTACTCTCCCAAACATCTTCCATGCATTTGAAAGAATTTACTAGAGTTTTGATTTAGAAGAGTAGAAGTCAGGCTTTTCATGTCATAAAAAATGTATATAGTCGCAAAGTAAATATTTAAGGAATATAGTGTGCTTGAAAATGAAATTGTGAGTGATAGAAGTATTTGTAGAATTGATAAATATCATTATTTCTTTGAGGTGGCTATTTAACATCAGCCATTTTCCCGCAGACGAAAAAAAGTCATTTACTTCATAATGAAAAAGAATTTCAAATTAAATTGTATTATATAGAAATATTTCTAATTTGACAGCCTCATTCAAATCTGACGTTTTAAAAGTATATTTAAATTAATAATGCGAGATTTTAAAAATATCTATGAGATTTTGAAATATTGAATAGCCGTGAGATTTTGATGATTTAAATGGCCCCCAATGTATTTGAAGCGATAAAAATCAAAATCTCATGAAATCACTTTCACACGGTGTCAGCCGTGAGATTATGATGGTGTGAGAATTCGAAATCTCACGGTAATCACTTTTACACGTTACACCTGGCCTAAAAAATTTAAAACCGGGCCGGTGTAGGATTGTGAAAGCAATACCCATTGTAGTTTCAATATCGTATTGATATTATCATTGTAGATTCAATACCGTATTGTTTTTACAATATTGTAGAATCAATACCGTATTGGTTTTAAAATACGTTTTCATCGCTTCAAATATATTGGCGGCCATTAAAATTGTAAAATATTTATTATTATACATTTAATTATCGCTTCAAATATGTTGGCGGCCATTAAAATTGTAAAATATTTATTATTATACATTTAATTTTCGCTTCAAATATGTTGGCGGCCATTAAAATTGTAAAATATTTATTATTATATATTCTTTTCATCGCTTCAAAAATATTGGCGGCCATTTTCGATTTGTAAAATATTTATTTTAAATAGATTTAACTTTTTTGAAATTTTTTGAATTACATAGATTAAAATATATATTGTAAACATGTTAAATTAATTTCAGTGAAGATGTACCAAAAGTGACAATTGTCATATTGTAAAATATTTATTTTAATCGCGTCAAAAATATTGACGGCCATCAGAGTTGTACAAAAGATCTTCTTTGAAGATTTTTGAGCGCTCAAAAATTTGAGCAAGATCTTTGAAGATCGTAAAATTTGAAGATCTTTTACTTTTAAAAAATTTTGAGCAACGATCTTCAAAGATCGAGATCTTTTGAAGATCTTTTATTTTAAAAAATTTTTGAGCAGCGTTTTATTTAAAAATATTTTAGATCAAACGATCTTCAAAGATCTTCATATTTTATAATGTTTTATTTTTTTGATATTATTTTTTGAACTGCATGTTAAATTAAAATAAAAATTTAATAAAGATGTACCGACAATTTTCATAATCGTTATTTTTTAACTTTTTTCGACATATATGGGTAAAAAAAAATTTATATAAAAAAAAATTTATATTATAATTTCAATGAAGATGTAATGTATTAAAAAGTAGAAATTGTAATAATCGTTATTTTTAACTTATTTGATTTATTATATCCTAAATTAAATAGGTTATAATTATTAATATTAAGTAGAGAACTGCACGGGCTGTCCGTAGCCCGACCCGACCCGGCCCGACCCGAGCCTCGGGCTCGGGTCGGGTTCGGACATCAAAAAAATTTCTCGGGTTCGGGCTCGGGTCGGGTTGTAAAAGCTGTCCGACCCGAAAACCCGAAAACCCGACCCGACCCGAAAATATATATAATAATATTAATTTCTTAAATAGTTAGTATAATTTATAATATTAATTATAAAATCATATTATTTAATATTTATCACATTTTAGGATTAAAATGTCAATCATATTAACATGTCATGTCATGTCATTATTAATTATTATTTTATAAACCTAACAACCGGATACCAAACTATTTTATTACTAAATTGTGTTTCTCGTAAATTACAAGATAAGACATATTTTATGTAAGTTTTATTTATTATTTAACTAGCCTATACATTGTCTTTTTTAACATTTGTTTTAACCCTTCACTACAAAGGTAGAAAAAACTCCCTTAACTACAAAGGTGGGGTCTATTTTACCCCAAATTTTGATTAGATATATCTCAAAACATATTAAAAATTGAGATCTAAAATTTTGAGTATATATTTAAAAAATATTGGAGATAATAAATACAAAATCTTAGATTAATATTTACTTCCAAAAAAAAGTTAGACAAATTTTCTTAAAATTACTGAAATAAAATTTTCTTTTTCAGTACTTCCTTTAATTATTTTATTATCACTAAATAAAATTCAAAAAATTCAAATTTTATTAAATCAATGTTGAATAATGATAATTACATAAATTTTATAAAAAAATATCATATATCAAAAAAAATATTAATCATCAAATATGTAAAATTATTAAAAAATAATAATGTAAATATATATCTTAATATTATTATTGAATATTTTTTTCTTAAGAAACTACAGAGGTGGTAGATACGTTTTTGGACTTCTCTCTATGGGAGGCTGACAATGCGTATTCTGATGCTAGCGCCGAAGTTGACGAGCTAAAAAAATATCTAGATCCGAAATTATGTGTTGATGACGATAATATTTTAAAATGGTGGAAAACAAACCATTATGAGTTTCCAAATTTAAGTATTTTAGCTCTTAAATTCCTGGCTATCCCTGCTTCGTCGGCTAGCAGTGAAAGGGCGTTTTCAGCTGCTGGTAGGGCCTTTGAGGAGAGAAGGACTCGTTTAAAGCCAGATAAACTGGACGCCTCTTTATTTATATATCATAATTATTCACTTTGTGATAATTTTGATAATGATATTGATGAGGTCAATATATAATATAATATGTTCATTATATTTTTTATATATTTATTAACTTTTACATCATATCTATATTCGCATAAATGATGCTTATTATATAATCGTTATAATTTTTAAATTCGCTTGTATATTAATCGTTTTATAATATTTTTTACAAATTTTAAAAATGCAACTTAATATATATCTTGAATAGATTATGGCCGTCAAATAAACTTTTATTTAAGGTGGCTGAACTGAATAAATACACATAAATTTTTTTTTGGTTATTATATTAAAACTTAAATTGCAAAATTTTATTCGGGTCGGGCTCGGGTCGGGTCGGGTTGGATTAAAAAATGTGTGCTCGGGCTCGGGTCGGGTTCGGACAAAAAAAAATTTTAAATTCGGGCTCGGGTCGGGCTCGGGTTGCGAAAAAATTACTTTGCAGTTCTCTAATATTAAGATGTAAAAATAAAATTTCAGTGAAGATGTACTACAGGAAAGTGACAATTGTCATAATCGTTATTTTTGAACCTTTTTAAATTTTTTAAAGCAAATGGGTAAATGAAGATATTGTTAACAATATAAATTAAAATTTCAGTGAAGATGTACTACAGGAAAGTGACAATTATCATAATCGTTATTATTGAAATTTTTTTAAAGCAAATGAGTAAAAATAGATATTATTAATATGTTAAATTAAAATTTCAGTGAAGATATACCATAAATAATCTTTATTTTTGATTTTTTTATATATAAAATTGAAAACTGATAATTGTCATATGTAATATTTTTAAACTCTTTTTATTAAACAAGGTTAGAATAAAGATATTTTGAAAATTATTTATTATTTCAAAATTATTAAAAAAATATATTGTTAACCAGGTTTGTTGTTAATAAGGTCCTATCCCATTTAATTTAAAAAAATAACCGATCTAATTTTTTTTAATAAAAAATATTGGCTCATTATGTTTCTTAAATTTTTGATGGCTTTAAGATTGTAAAATATTAAAAAGTGGTGCCTTCTAACTTCTATAATTTGAGCGTTATTTAAGTAAAGTCGTGCTTTTACAATGTACAACGACATTAAACAGCAAGAACTCAAATTTATATTACGAGCCAAATATATTTATGGATTGTCAAATTCTTGGTTTTTTAGTTTTGACAAAATAATAAACCTGACCTAACTTATTCAATTGGATAGATTTAGTTTTTTTTATACTGAAAATATTTTATATTTTTTTTATTTTAGTCTATCAATTCGAGTCGCGAAAGGCAGTTTTAAATATGAATATTTATTGTAAACCTAGCATATAAATATTTCTCCTTTTAAAATTCAACCCATACTTTTTGATCCTTCACTACAAAGGTGGAAAAAAATCCCTTAACTACAAAGGTGGGGTCTATTTTATCCCAAATTTTGATTAATATCTCAGAACATATTAAAACTTGAGATCTACAAATACAATTTTGAATATATATTCAAATATTATTGGAAATAATAAATACAAAATCTTAGATTAATAGTTACTTCTAAAAACAGTTATGCAAATTTTACTAAAGTTACTAAAATAAAAAATTTTTTCTGAGACCTTTCTTTAATTATATTTTGATCACCATAAAGTATTTAAAAAAATGCAAATTTTATTATATATTTTATTAAATGAATGTCGAATATAGATAATTATATAAATTTTATAAAAAGATATCAAATATTAAATAAAATACTAATCATCAAATATCATGTAAATTTTTGTACTAACATTCACGACAAAATGTATGCATATGATCTAATGAATTTTTAACAATTTAAACAAATAAATGTTGTTTTTACCTCCTTCACTCTTGGACAATCTTTACATACTCCCTTTTTATTATTTGGAATATGTTTTTCATCAGTTATATTGAGAATATCCCCAATGTTGTTACGTATTAATCTACATATACTACTCTCTAATTGTCCCATACATAATATTTCTCTATAAAATCAAGATCTACAAAATAATTCTCTACAAAATAATTCTCTACATTCATTTTAAAATCATTCTCTATAAACGACATTCTCTATAAAACCATTTGTTATAAATGCATTCTCTATAATTGTTTTCTTCTCTATAAATGTTTCTCTATAAAATACATTCTCTATAATGGTTTCTCTATAAAGACGTAAAACCACATTATTATTATTAAAAAAAATTTTATATATAATTCTTTTTATAATAAAAATAAAAACTTCACCCTTCGCCTTCTATTTTATTTGAAAAAAAATTAGTTTTAAAATTTTGGGTTATATTGATGGGGGATTTCTTAACATGTGATGTGTTAGTGAAATGGGGGATTTATTAAAAAAAATTTTATGATTATATAAAAATCTCTCTAAAATTCTTTCTTTTTTATTAGTTATTCAGAGTCAGATAAAATATAACATTATATATTTTTTTTTAAATATATAATTCTTTATATTAATAAAAAGAAAAACTTCTAACGTTTCCTCGCCTTCTATTTTTTTTCCTTAAAAAAATTTTAAATACCCCTTTATTATAAATCATAATCATAATTTTCTTTTTCATTTTATTTTTTCTTTCAGATTCAGATATATTTGAAAAAAAATTAGTTTTAAAATTTTGGGTTATATTGATGGGGGATTTCTTAACATGTGTTAGTGAAATGGGGGATTTATTAAAAAAAAAATTTAAGATTATATAAAAATCTCTCTAAAAATCTTTCTTTTTTATTCGTTTTTCAGAGTCAGATAAAATATAACATTAAAATATATTTTTTTTTAAAATATTTTTTTTATTAATAAAAACTTCAAACGTTACCTCGTCATGTAAGCCTTAAGATTGTGGTCATAGATGGCACAAAAGTTTGGACATTTATCAGCGAAATGTCAAGGTTTAGGTAAGTTAAAAATATTTAATTCCCCTCAAATATATTTAGTATTTTTCTTTATTAAATTTAGCCCTTTTTGAAAATCTAGCAGTTTAGCACTTATATTTATATAAAATTCCCAAAAACATGATTTAATAAAACAAATTTATCTTTCATCAAAAGAAAGGTGGGACTATAAAGACCTCAATTTTAAAAATTTCAGCACTTAAAACAAGTATTTGTGAATTTAGATTTTTTTCAGTACTTCAAGAGTTTGGGTAACAATTTTATTTTGTATTTCAATTATTCGTATTTTAATTAGTAAAATGATTATATATAATTAAATAATACATGATATAATATATACAAATAAAAATTTTATATAAATATAATAAAAATCAAAATATAACGTTATTTAATACACTTTTATTAAGTTTAATTAATAAAATATCATTTAATATAGATTTCTCTAATCTTGTTCGTAGCGGTGTAAGGACCAATCCCAGAGCACTGAATGATCTCTCAACAGATACTTGAGAGCAAGGAGCGGCTAGAACTACTCGCGATAGGGCATAATTGCCAATATTGCAAAATATTTTGATCAGATGGCAATTTTTGACCATATATTAAAGCATTAATTTTGGTCTTCATATCAAGGATTTCAATATTTTGGTATATTGGAGCATTAGCGCTTTCTCGCTCCAAATATACATCTAATCTGGTTTTTTTACAACTTACAGGGATAAAAGGAGAGCCACTCAGAGCTGGATTATCTTTTGGCTTATTAAAAATTTGTATTTGTCTCCACGTAGACATCAGATGTTCCTAAAATAAAATAAATTTATTTAATTTAAAGTTATATATTATAAATTTACCCTGGCCAGCAATTTATCACTTTCGGATGGATAGATTCCATTCTGATAATTAAATCTGGGATCCATGTAGATCCCACTTCTAAAAACATTATTATCAAAAATATATTTTTGACGATAATCCAGACAATTAATCAAATTATTCGAGGATTCATTATTTATTTCCTCTAAATCTAATTTGCATTCAAGCCATAATTTAAAAAAATCTCCGATTGTACAAGATTTTTCTTGCAGTTTAATGGTACATAAATTAACAGGAGATAAGACGGTGAGATATGCGTCAATCCTATCCCAGAGTCTTGAATTTATAAAAGTTTCTAAATATATATGGCCCATTTTTAAGTAAAATATTTTATTATCCTTTAGGTTTTTTAGCATTCTATAGGTGCTATTCCACCTAGTAACAGTGTCCAGCACTGGTTTGTTAATTTTTTCTAATGAATATAAACTTTTATATTTTTGTGATTTGCATATTTTTAGAATAGATCTTATATCTTCTAAATCCTCCTTTAGAAATTTTTTTATATAATCATTAACTCCTAATTGAATAGTATGGGCACAACATCGCACACAAATCAGCCCAAATGATTTTCTTAGATCATTTAATAAATTTTCCATATCATCATTTATTTGTTCTTGATTATCATGTTGAAAATGTATGTTATCATCTTGATTTAGATTATTTATTATATACTCCCCAGAGGAATCATTATCATGTATATTTGAAATATCACTGTTATTTTCCTGGGTGATCTCTATATTATTATAATCGTTATTTGGTTGAGAAGAGTCGTTATATTCCTGCGAGGACTCATTATCGCTATTTTGTAACAAATATTCTGAGAATGCATCTTCAGAAAGATCGATATGAGTAATTAGCTGTTCTTCAGCTATCATTTCCACGGTTTTTATCATATTGGCACCATTGTCAACAGTGATACTGTATATTTGGCTCAAACATATATTATACTTTTTTAATAAATTTTCTACTTCTTCCTAAATTAGACGCCGTGTGCTCCTTTACAATTTCTAACATGCCTAAAGTTCGTATTTCAATCTTATCATCTATAATAAATTGGGCATTAACCACCAACACTGATTTTTGAAATCTGTGGCTGTATCTATCTTCAAAGAAATGAGCTTATTTTTAACTTGTTGCATTATTAGGCATCTTATTTCTGATGCCGCATATTTTATTTTATCATTTACGATGTGTTTGTTTAAAGTCATATTCAATGATTGGACTATTGGATCTAATAATAGCTTGAATGATTCATATGTAACTAAATTGATTGGCAAGTTGTTAATAGCAATTAATCCCACAACCGATTCGTAAACCTAAATTTTTTTTAAAAATTATTTAGATTTAAGATAAGATTAATAATTAAAGTCCTGCAAAATTCAACTTTCATATCAAATCAGATTAAAAAATACCTTTTAATTTTATTTTGTTATCAATCAGATATTTTTTTATCTGAACGTAAATCTGAGTCAAATAGCATTTAAAAAATTAAAATATACGATACCAGAGTTGTTAAAATATCTAGATATAAAAATGAGATATCTGTATTTATATATTATTTAAGAAGTAACTGTATCTGATTTGAAATTCATTCTAAGATACATTTTGATACACTTTTTAATAATAAATAAAAAATAATTTAATGCAAAATTTATTTTATTTCATTAAATGGCTCGTTTTGAGCCGATTTTAAAAACGGCTAATTAGTTTTTTATTCAGAAAAATATTATGCAAACCTGAAAATTTTGCTCAAAGAAGGAGCAGAGGTCTGGACATATAGTTTCAAAATTTCGAGGCATAGTTAATATATTTCTGGCAAAAATATTGAGTTAGCCGTTTTTAAAAATGGCACAAAACGAGCCGTTTAACAACATTGGCTAATATGCATATTAAATGATAATACTCGCCGAAAAATATGATAAATAGGTAAATTTTTGTATATGTCAGGTCGAATATGATTTTAAAAAATTCCGAACAGGGCCCAAAAATTTTTTAAAAAAAAAACCGGCCGGGCCGGATCTTAAAATTTTTTTTAAAAAAATCCTGACGGGGCCGTGCAAATGGTATTTCTGCAGGTGTCTGATATATATTTAAAAAAATTAAAACTACTTTAATAAAAAATATATATATAAAATATTAAAACTTATTAAGTGCCATAATTGATGTTTATGGTTTATCAAGCCCCATATAAATTAAGAAATCATGATCGAAATAATATGTAGATATAATAAATACTCATAACTTTCCCAAATTATAGAAGAGTGTTTAAAATTTGCTATAAATCTTAATTTAATATAAAATCAGAGGGAAAAAAGCTGGCTTACCAGGATAAACCTGCAAATTGCCATGAAGAACAATAAAAATTAATATTCTGTCATGCTAAAATCCTTTGAAAATTTCAGTATATCATTAATAGTGATCTGCATAATGTATAGTATCTCAATCTAGGCCCGAAATATTTTGCAGGACCGGCCCGGTATAAATTTATTTAAATATTGAAATTAATTTTTATAATTACTCAAAATATAAGACATATGTTATATGGCGTCTAGTTTCTATAAATAAAATTCAAATAATTAAATTTTACATAAAAATCAAATAATTTAATATTACATAAAAAATTCATTATAAAATTGATAAATTTAGGTGTATTTAAAAAAATTACATGGTCCGACCCCACCCAGTTTAAAAAAAATTAGGTCCTAGTCTGGCTTGATTCCCATTTTTTTAAAAAATATTCCCGTACACGGCCCGAATACTGCTTGTGCGAGGCCGGTAAACTTTTGCAGGTCTCTAATTATTAAGATCAATTGAATTGGATAATTGTAATAGTTAAATTAGATAATTATATAAAAAGCATATATAATTTTTTTAAAAACATAATCGATACAACAATCTTGATAATTGTTTAAATTGTATCTGTACAAGATACATTTTTAAAATTGTATTTGTATCTATAACTTTTTAGACTAATATTTATTTCTCTACCTAGATCCATTTAAAAAGTATATTTTAACAACTCTGCGATTTACCAACAATAATCATAATTGTAGTGTTTTATTGTTTAATAATGTATGTAATAAAAAATACTTTCGATTTGCTCATGACAATTTTAATTGTTTGAGATGTCTTCTCGTTTGACTGCGAACTTGATGTTGATATATCTAAATTGTTAACTTCATTTGAATTTAAATTAGCTGCAATATTAGGATGTTGACTGAAAATATGTCTTTTAAGATTCGCTTTAAAATGCATATAATTAGTAGGTTATTAAGTCATTTTTAAACTAGGTAGGCCTAATATAAAAAGAAAACAATTGGTGGGGTATATATAATTGGTATCGAACTTATTTTAATTCCGTAATAAATCATTTGTTACATATAGGTTTTGTAGTATGTTGAATGACTTTAAAATTAGAAAAAATATTATAATATTCTTCTTAATTATCCTTTAATTCAATTTTTAAAAAGGCCAAAGTATCTTAAAAAGAATTAGCTTAAAAAATTTAGATAATATACCTAATTGTGAAGCAAAATTTAGATCACCAAAATTTAAAGATGTTGTAAAAAAACCAATAACAAAAATAAAATATATTTAAAATATCTTACATGGAATTGATTTGAGCTTTTTATCGCATGAGCTGCATGTTGCAAAAATATTGTCTTGGTCAAATAAAAAGAAGTTAGATATAAGAGAATTTTTTTTCATAATATTAATTAAAAATTTTTTATTTAATAAAGAAAAAATTTCATATATCTTAATCTGAAAGAAAAAATAAAACGAAAAAGAAAATTATGATTATGTATATGTATGATTTATAATAAAAGGAAAGGGGTATTTAAAATTTTTTTAAGGAAAAAAAATAGAAGGCGAGGAAACGTTAGAAGTTTTTCTTTTTATTAATATAAAGAATTATATATTTAAAAAAAAATATATAATGTTATATTTTATCTGACTCTGAATAACTAATAAAAAAGAAAGAATTTTAGAGAGATTTTTATATAATCTTAAAATTTTTTTTAATAAATCCCCCATTTCACTAACACATCACATGTTAAGAAATCCTCCATCAATATAACCCAAAATTTTAAAACTAATTTTTTTTCAAATAAAATAGAAAGCGAAGGGTGAAGTTTTTATTTTTATTATAAAAAGAATTATATATAAAATTTTTTTTAATAATAATAATGTGGTTTTACGTCTTTATAGAGAAACCATTATAGAGAATGTATTTTATAGAGAAACATTTATAGAGAAGAAAACAATTATAGAGAATGCATTTATAACAAATGGTTTTATAGAGAATGTCGTTTATAGAGAATGATTTTAAAATGAATGTAGAGAATTATTTTGTAGAGAATTATTTTGTAGATCTTGATTTTATAGAGAAATATTATGTATGGGACAATTAGAGAGTAGTATATGTAGATTAATACGTAACAACAATGGGGATATTCTCAATATAACTGATGAAAAACATATTCCAAATAATAAAAAGGGAGTATGTAAAGATTGTCCAAGAGTGAAGGAGGTAAAAACAACATTTATTTGTTTAAATTGTTAAAAATTCATTAGATCATATGCATACATTTTGTCGTGAATGTTAGTACAAAAATTTACATGATATTTGATGATTAGTATTTTATTTAATATTTGATATCTTTTTATAAAATTTATATAATTATCTATATTCGACATTCATTTAATAAAATATATAATAAAATTTGCATTTTTTTAAATACTTTATGGTGATCAAAATATAATTAAAGAAAGGTCTCAGAAAAAAATTTTTATTTTAGTAACTTTAGTAAAATTTGCATAACTGTTTTTAGAAATAACTATTAATCTAAGATTTTGTATTTATTATTTATAATAATATTTGAATATATATTCAAAATTGTATTTGTAGATCTCAAGTTTTAATATGTTCTGAGATATTAATCAAAATTTGGGATAAAATAGACCCCACCTTTGTAGTTAAGGGATTTTTTTCCACCTTTGTAGTGAAGGATCAAAAAGTATGGGTTGAATTTTAAAAGGAGAAATATTTATATGCTAGGTTTACAATAAATATTCATATTTAAAACTGCCTTTCGCGACTCGAATTGATAGACTAAAATAAAAAAAATATAAAATATTTTCAGTATAAAAAAAACTAAATCTATCCAATTGAATAAGTTAGGTTAGGTTTATTATTTTGTCAAAACTAAAAAACCAAGAATTTGACAATCCATAAATATATTTGGCTCGTAATATAAATTTGAGTTCTTGCTGTTTAATGTCGTTGTACATTGTAAAAGCACGACTTTACTTAAATAACGCTCAAATTATAGAAGTTAGAAGGCACCACTTTTTAATATTTTACAATCTAAAAGCCATCAAAAATTTAAGAAACATAATGAGCCAATATTTTTTATTAAAAAAAATTAGATCGGTTATTTTTTTAAATTAAATGGGATAGGACCTTATTAACAACAAACCTGGTTAACAATATATTTTTTTAATAATTTTGAAATAATAAATAATTTTCAAAATATCTTTATTCTAACCTTGTTTAATAAAAAGAGTTTAAAAATATTACATATGACAATTATCAGTTTTCAATTTTATATATAAAAAAATCAAAAATAAAGATTATTTATGGTATATCTTCACTGAAATTTTAATTTAACATATTAATAATATCTATTTTTACTCATTTGCTTTAAAAAAATTTCAATAATAACGATTATGATAATTGTCACTTTCCTGTAGTACATCTTCACTGAAATTTTAATTTAACATGTTAACAATATCTATTTTTACCCATTTGCTTTAAAAAAATTCAAAAAAGTTCAAAAATAACGATTATGACAATTGTCACTTTCCTGTAGTACATCTTCACTGAAATTTTAATTTAACATGTTAACAATATCTTCATTTACCCATTTGCTTTAAAAAAATTTAAAAAGGTTCAAAAATAACGATTATGACAATTGTCACTTTCCTGTAGTACATCTTCACTGAAATTTTAATTTAACATGTTAACAATATCTATTTTTACCTATTTGCTTTAAAAAAATTTAAAAAAGTTCAAAAATAACGATTATGACAATTGTCACTTTCCTGTAGTACATCTTCACTGAAATTTTAATTTAACATGTTAACAATATCTTCATTTACCCATTTGCTTTAAAAAAATTTAAAAAGGTTTAATAATAACGATTATGACAATTGTCACTTTCCTGTAGTACATCTTCACTGAAATTTTAATTTAACATGTTAACAATATCTATTTTATACATTTGCTTTAAAAAAATTTTAAAAAGGTTCAAAAATAACGATTATGACAATTGTCATTTTCCTGTGGTACATCTTCACTGAAATTTTAATTTAAAACATATTAACAATATCTATTTTTACCCATTTGCTTTAAAAAAATTTAAAAAAGTTCAATAATAACGATTATGATAATTGTCACTTTCCTGTGGTTCATCTTCACAGAAATTTTAATTTAACATGTTAACAATATAATATCTATGCTATGCTTTAAAAAAATTTTCAAAAATAACGATTATAACAATTGTCACTTTTCTATGGTACATCTTCATTGAAATTTTATTTTTACATCTTAATATTAAAAATTATAACCTATTTAATTTAGGATATAATAAATCAAATAAGTTAAAAATAACGATTATTACAATTTCCACTTTTTAATACATTACATCTTCATTGAAATTATAATATAAATTTTTTTTTATATAAATTTTTTTTTACCCATATATGTCGAAAAAAGTTTAAAATAACGATTATGAAAATTGTCGGTACATCTTTATTAAATTTTTATTTTAATTTAACATGCTTATGCTTACTAATCCATTTACTTCAAAAAATAATATCAAAAAAATAAAACATTATAAAATATGAAGATCTTTGAAGATCGTTGATCAAAAATATTTTTAAATAAAAGATCTTCAAAGATCTAGATCTTTGAAGATCGCTGTTAAAAAATTTTTAAAAATAAAAGATCTTCAAAAGATCTCGATCTTTGAAGATCGTTGCTCAAAATTTTTTAAAAGTAAAAGATCTTCAAATTTTACGATCTTCAAAGATCTAGATCTTTGAAGATCTTTTTATTTTGAGCAAATGTACAACTCTGACGGCCATTTTAGATTTGTAAAAAATCTATTTTATATATTTAATAGTTAAAATATATTTAAATGATTTTCTATTCTTTTATATAATTTTTTTAAGGAATTTATATTTTACTATTCTTTATATCCTGTATATTTTTATTTTTTTACTCATATTTATTAATTTTCTCCTTATGGTTAAAATGATATTGTTTGTTCAACTCCATCCTGTAGAAAATTGTAATTAAGAACAATGTACACAAATTTTCTTCATTTACCATCTTATTATTGGGATCAAGCCTTAAAGTTTTAATAAACAAGCTTAAGCTAATCACAGATATGAGGGTTTCTATTACAACAAAGGATCTCAATCATTATCTCTATCACTATTATTATGCGATCATTGCCTGTTGGCTCATCTTAAAATCTTCATTCCTATCTCAAGCCTTAAAATTTTAATAGACAAAAGCTAAATTAAGTCAAAGCATCTCAATAAATATCTATTACTGAAATATGTTTTAATCATTTCCTGTTGGCTTCTTAATCGTCATTTCATTTTTTAGATGCATATATAATTTTATTTCTATCTGATTAAAATTACATTTATATTTATGGAACACAAAATATTTTATAAAATCAAATTATGTTTTATATTATTCTTTTAAACTGTAATAACTATTTTTAGTTGTATATATATTTTTTATTGCAATAAAAGACTGATTTCTTAATACTATATAAATAAAAAGGATATATCATTTTATTTCAAAAATACAAGAAAAATATTATAAAAAGAAAATATATCCCAATAACGGAAACATGATTATTACAAATTGAGTATATATTATATTATAACACGATTAAAATGATCAGAAGTCGCATTTATTAAATATATATTTTAATTAAAAATTTTTATACAGTTATTTTTTAATAATGAGGAGTATGTAATGTATTTCATCTCATTTCCATTTTTGCAATATATAATGATAGGTGTTGGAAAAAATGTGGCAGATGCTACAATATCTAGTTCATCTGCCCACGTTCCAAGTTGATATTTTTTTGTATCAACTATATGTGTGATTATATCTTTTCCAATAAAATCACTAAAAATATCTTTATTTTCAAAATGCATCATATAAGAGGTAATAGACCCCCTTATAATTGCATGGTGATCTTCACTCCCTGAGATTTCTTTGCTTAAGCACCGATAAAAACAATTACCGTCACCAAGAACTATATCAAAATTAGGAGGATAACTTAAATTTTTAGTTTTATCATTGCTTTCTGTTAATAAAGAATATGGGATGCCCAACCTCTTAGCATGATATTTCTTCCATGCATAATTGGTGGCAAGGTAAGGTAACGGAGAAGTATCAGGCTCCTTATATAATATTATCTTAATATCGGTAGAATCTTCTTTTGCCTCATCTCCGTTATTAGATTGTTGGATGTAGGGCTTAAGGTTACACCCGTTATATTTTTGCTTTAATGGAGTATTATCTTTATTACTCACACTATAAATATCTTTATCATGTATTTTATCAATTACATATGGACCAAGCCAAGGATCAGACATTTTTCCACCTTTTCGATCCGCACGACGGGAGTTCCAGATTAGGACCAGTTGTCCAACTTCATACGATATTTTATCCTTTTGCCTTTTTTGATAATCTCTTTTTTGTCTATCTTGGGCATCAATTATATTTTCTTTCGCCTTTTTCCATACGACTGACATGCTCATTATTCTATTTAACAATTCACTCTCGTCAAAGTCATTATCAATATTATTTACATAAGAGTTTTCAGGATCATTATTTATTTCCTTAACAATATCAGGCTTAGTTGTGGAATTTAAGTCTGATGGAAGCTTTGCATTCCGACCATATAACATATAAAATGGGGTAAATCCTGTTGATTTGTGTACACTTGTTCTCATTGCAAACAGTACACCTGGAAGAACTTTAGGCCACTGGGTCTGATCATTTCCTAAAACCTTTAACATTAGGTTTTGAATAGTGCGATTATTTCTCTCAGTTAAGCCATTAGCTTGAGGATGGTACGCACTGCAAATGCGTTGCTCTGTCCCGGTCATTTTATGCAGTCTAGTAGTCATCTCATTTACAAACTCTCTTCCTTGATCATTGATTTGTATCTATATTGTATAAAATGAAAAGTTTATAAGATAGAATTATCATAAATTCATATTTTTTAATCGATATGTATTTATATAATTTGATTTACATTTGCGCAGCCATGGCGTCAAATCAGACCGTATATAAATTTACATGTCTCATTGGCTGTTTTGGATTTCATGGGTTCTGCCTCAACCCATTTTGTGAAATAATCAGAGGCAACGGCAATACACGTGTAGACTTCTTCTGAAGTGGGCAGGCTGCAAAGATCAATTCCTATTTGAGCCCATGGAAAAGGTGGTACATCTATTGGATGCAAAGTGGAAGAAATTTTGGTAAATCTTACATTAGCCTTCTGACATCTATCACATGATTTTATAAAATCAATAGTGTCTTGAAATAATTTTGGCCACCAATAATAAACACAAAATTAAGAATTCTAACATCATAATAAGTACCTTTCAGAGAGTTTAAGTTGAGTTTTATTAATACCTAGGTGGGCACCAATAGCTTTAGACTCTAAGGATATATCTGATCCTTGGTGAATAATAGATATTACTCTTTGTTTCTCTTCTTCTTCCATTATTACTAAAGCTAAAAAATAAATAGAAAATGATTATTTTGTGATCATATTTACTTTCTTTATTCTTTATTTTTCTGTAAAGAACATCATCTTTAACAATAAATTTGCTTGCCATGCATTTATAATTACTTTTTTTCCCTGGGTGGTTTTTAAGAAATATATAATACTTTCCTGTAACTAAATATTCCTTTATTGTATTATATTTTTCTGTTAATGCTTGATAAAAATGTATAATTATAATTTAAATGTACCTATTTGATTCATGAAAAATTTTGTGAAGTTCTCTATAATTGTTGATTTAAAGGTTCTTTTATTGATACTGTATTCTTTTTATAAATATAAAATAATAATTTAAATGTACTAATTTGTTCTCCTGTATCTATATTAATTGATATAAATTTATAATTATAATTTAAATGTACTAATATGTTCTCCTGTGTTTCTATATAAGTAATAATTTGTAAACTCTATTTTAGTATTTTAATGGATATAAATATAAAATTATAATAAATGTACTAATTTGTTCTCCTGTATCTATATTAATTGATATAAATTTATAATTATAATTTAAATGTACTAATATGTTCTCCTGTGTTTCTATATAAGTAATAATTTGTAAACTCTATTTTAGTATTTTAATGGATATAAATATAAAATTATAATAAATGTACTAATTTGTTCTCCTGTATCTATATTAATTGATATAAATTTATAATTATAATTTAAATGTACTAATATGTTCTCCTGTGTTTCTATATAAGTAATAATTTGTAAACTCTATTTTAGTATTTTAATGGATATAAATATAAAATTTTAATAAATGTACTAATTTGTTCTCCTGTATCTATATTAATTGATATAAATTTATAATTATAATTTAAATGTACTAATATGTTCTCCTGTGTTTCTATATAAGTAGTAATTTGTAAACTCTATTTTAGTATTTTAATGGATATAAATATAAAATATAATTTAAATGTACTAATTTTTTCTCCTGTATCTATATTAATTGATATAAATTTATAATTATAATTTAAATGTACTAATATGTTCTCCTGTGTTTCTATATAAGTAGTAATTTGTAAACTCTATTTTAGTATTTTAATGGATATAAATATAAAATTATAATTTAAATGTACTAATTTGTTCTCCTGTATCTATATTAATTGATATAAATTTATAATTATAATTTAAATGTACTAATATGTTCTCCTGTGTTTCTATATAAGTAGTAATTTGTAAACTCTATTTTAGTATTTTAATGGATATAAATATAAAATTATAATTTAAATGTACTAATTTGTTCTCCTGTATCTATATTAATTGATATAAATTTATAATTATAATTTAAATATACTAATTTGTTCTCCTGTGTACTAATTTGTTCTCCTGTTTCTATATATGGATATTCAAAAATTTGTAAACGGTAGTAACAATTTGTATAAAAATTTCAATTTGATTGTTCTCCTGTTTCTATATATGGATATTCAAAAATTTGTAAACGGTAGTAACAATTTGTATACAATATTCTTAAAAAATTTCAATTGTAAACGGTAGTAACAATTTGTATACGGTATTCTTAAAAAATTTCAATTTGATTCGTAAAAGCTGAGGTTCGGTCATAAATTATCAATACCGTATTGTTTTTACAATATTGTAGAATCAATACCGTATTGATTTTAGATGGTATTGTTTCTACAATATTACACCGGACCGTGCAAATGGTACCTCTGCAGGTCTCTGATTTATATTATCTAAAAAAATTATAAATTAAGTAAAATAATAATCTTAAAAAATTATTAAATATTACAAAAATAATACATTGCCTAAATAACTAATTCACCCTGCCTACCACCGTAACACATTGCCTAAAAAAATCAGGCAATGTGTACATTGCCGAAAATAACACATTGACGCTAACATATATACAAGTAATTTATAATATTTTATATAAACTAATAAAAATATATTTCAAATTTGTTCCAAGTTTACTTTTTTTTATTAAAATTAACCTCTTATATTGAAAAATATTTTATGACTATATATAGACTAAGGAAACTCGGCCGAACGCTCCCCCTAAAGGGGGTCTGGAGGCGAAGCCCCCAGTAATTTTTTAATCCCCCCCTTAGGAAAATCCTGGCTACGCCTATGTCCCCAGCAATCATTATCAAACTTCTCTCTATCCCCAAAACCATATGACATGGAATGATGATTCTTGTCTGTCAATCCCCATGTTCGTTAGCTAATCATAATATCAAAAAAATATATGGGTTACTAATATCTTCTTCATAAATTGTTTATGTTTCAGTTTTGAAAAATTAATATAAATATTTATTTAAAGATTTTTGATTAAATTTCTATCTTGAGATTGTTTTATAGGTTTATGAATTTCTATTTTGAAATATCAAATATTTACAATTTTTTTCATTGAGTTGTTATAAAGAATTACTGTTTATGGAATCGAACTTGATTTTCTAATTATTTATTATTTTGGCATGAATACTCTTAAAATGATGAAAAAATAATAAATTAAATCTAAAATATTAATAGTATATATCTATTTTTACGAGAATCACCAAATGGACTATAATCTGTTATACCCAAGTTGCTTTCAGCTGATATATCACGTGGCATTAGATATAAATGTAATATTCCTTTTGAAATATTTTTTTCTAATGATCAGTAGCGTCACTGGAGGGGGGAGGGGGGGGCGCAGGGGTAGCCCTTTAAAAAAATTTAAATAACCTCCTGAAGCTAAAAAAAAAATTTTTTATAATTTCCATAATATCCTCCTGAACTGAAAATAAATTTTTTGATAGCCTCCTTTATTAAATATTATATATAAATTTGATTTTATTATTTAAAAATTAATTAGACTATCTGAATTTTTATTAAATAAGTTTATTTTTATTTATTAGATTAAATCAATGACGAAGCAGCGTCCATAGAAGCAAGGGAAGCATTGCTTCCCTTGAAATTTTTCTTACAAAATTCTTAAATAAACTTAATATAATCTTTATACTAAATAAAAATCGAAACTAAAATTAATATAATTAACGTTAAAAAGATTAATATTATTTTTACTACGTTAAGAAAAATTACTATTATTTTTACTACGTTAAAAAATTTACTATTATTTTTACTACGTTAAAAAAAATATAACATGATGGGAGCAAATAATATTGCTTATTTTTTTAAAATAAATATTTTAAAAAACCATGTTTCGAATTTTTTTATTAAGTTTAAAAATATATATATGAGGGAAGCAAATTATTGCTTATTTTTTTAATAAATTGAGAAAATCATGCTATGGTAATTGTGTAATTTTACGATTAAAATATAGGCGTTGGGGAAGCAAATAAAAAAATGCTTATTTTTTTTAATAAATAAAAGAGAAAACATTTTTGTTTTTTAAAATCCATAATTATTGTAATTGTATTATAGAAAATTTATTAATATTATTATTTAGCTCAAGAAATTTTGATGCGAAAAAATTAATTATTGGAAAAGGAAGACCAAAACCAATTATACAAAACTTAAAAAAAGAAATCAAAACTTGCATTCGTAATTTTTTATTAATAAATATGAAAAATATGAGTGGCTCACTGGATGTAAATTTTTTAATTCTCTATATTGGTGGCCATGCCTATTATTCCCAAAGGAAAAATATGTTTGAAATGATAAAGGATTTACGGATATGAATAATTTTTCAAAGACAGTTAAACGGCATGAAGAATCAACCGCTCATTTGCAGTCGATGATTCAATTAAAAATATTTGGTGAAAATCGTATTGAAAATTTGATAGATTCTTGTGCAAAATATCAATCGAACAGCATAATTCAAAAGTCAAATCAAATAGAGAAATATTGAAAATATTGATCAACTCTATATGTTTTCTTGGAATTCAGGAGCTAGCATTCCGTGGTGATGAAGAATTTTCTAATTAAGTAAATAGAGGAAATTATATTGAATTAATTTATTTGCTTGTGGAAGAAAATTTAATAGTGCAGTTTTTATTGGACAAGCGATATTCAAAATTATTTAATTAATTCTATTTCATATGTCTTACACCAAAAAATATTAAATGAATTGGAAGATTAGATTAAACAACTGATATAAATAATAAATCCCAACTGGCTGTTGTTATTCGATATGTTTTAAATAACGGGACATTGTATGAAAGATTTATTGAATTCTTTTATATTACTCGAGATGCTAATTCTTTATCAAAATTTGTCATTAAATTTTTAAATGATAAAAAAATTATGGAAAAATTAATAAGCCAAAGTTACGATGGCGCAGCTGTTATGTTAGGCGATTCATATGGACTGCAAGCGAAAATAAGAGACGTCAATCCAGAATTTTATATTCGATGCTTTGCCATAAGTTAAATCTTATATTATCAAAATCTTGCAGCAAAATTAAAGAATGTAAGGTTTTTTAACAACATTAGTCACAATCATTTTAAGATTGATTTTGTTTAAATTTAATTTTTTTTAAATGTTTAAATTAATTTCCTTAAAAAATGGTATTAAAAATCTTTGTTTTGTTTTATTTCCCTCTTTTTTTCCTCCCATTTTTAATGCTTAAAAGAAAAAAAATGATTTTTTTTACATTCCTGCTTTTAGCCAAAGTTTTTTTTAGTACGTCATTTAAGCGAACAGTGGAATTTGATAAATATGTCAAAAAGAGATTACCACGAGTAGCCCCAACGAGATGGGAATACAATGGTCGGCTAGTTCAAACAATTTTCTAGTCGTTTTTTTTTTAAATAAAAATGATGGAGAATCTAATAATGTTTGGGATAATGATGTTCTAATAACATATCGTGGCTACTAAAATATATTAGATGACGTAAATTTTCTAATTTTGTTATTTTTTTCAAGAAATTTTTCAGAATCTGATTTATTATTTTATATAATTCAAACTAAAATTAACGATATATCTTATTGGCTTAAAAGATTAAAGATTTCCAAAATTCTTTTAAATCAAAAATAAAAAACTTTGATATTTTTGGAGATATTTTAATGTAAAAGAAAAGATAGAAGACAATTTAGATAAAAAACGTAATATATCCGGTGCCCAATACAAAAGAATTTTATAAAAATTTGATAATTAATTTAACAGATAAAATAATCAATGAAATAGATTTTCGGTTCGATACATTAAAAAATGTTAAATTCGTCGAATTGTTAGATATTAGTAAATTCCAAACATTTAATCAAAATTTCCCAAAATATTTATTAGACAATTTAAATGACACTATTTTCAATTTTTCGACCTATACAAAAACTGAATTAAAAGTAGTGTTTCGGAACGATGTATTTAGAAAGAAAAAGAATGTTAATGAAATACTTGAACTTTTAATATATACCGATTTGATGAAAAGTTTTGAAGAGTTTTTTAAATTATGCAAATTCATCTTAACTTTGCCTTCAACAACAGAAATTGCAGAACGGGGTTTTTCATCTTTAAAAGTATCAAATCTTATTGCAGAAACAGGATGAGTCAAAATCGATTATCGAATCTATCTTTGATTTCGATTGAAAAAAAAATTTTTTTATATTTAAAATCTAACAATAACTTTTATAATTCAGTAGTTGATCATTTTATCAAAAATAAAGACGAATTCCACTTATTTATAAATCTTAATTTTTTTTATGTTTTAACTAATAAATAAAAAAAAATAATTTTTTGATTGCTTCCCTAATAGTAAACTTGTCACTGGATTAGATTAATACATATAAATTATATTTTCACTAGGTCAGCTTGCAATCAAATTCTGTATTAAAAATGGAATATCAATATCACTCAGAATGTCTAAATATTAATTTAGCATTTTATTATTTAAATTATTTTATAACTCTAAATAAATAAATATAATCTTTATTAATTGAAAATTAACAAATTTAATATTGTAATTAGCCAAGTTCAAAATCACTAATCAACTATATTATACGTTTTTAATTTGCTTCTTCCTAAAAATATTTTCAAGGTTTAAATAAGTATAAGACATTTCTTTATAAAAAGTAGGTAGACATAGTTGATAATCCTAAAATATTAAGTAAAATGCCACTTTTACAGACGTATTTGACAGTTATAGAATATATTACAGTTAATATTTTAAGAAATTTTACTATAAATGCTTTTTATTATAATAAGTAACAATTAGTTTCCTAACCCCAACCCTAATGCCATCTATTTATTTAAAAATATTAATAAAAATTAAATATCTTGTTATTCATCCCAC